CAGTCTTTCTCTCTCAAATAAATAAATAAAATCTTTAAAAAAAAAAAAATTAAAATGCTCTCTTTCTATAATTTAATCTCAATTAGCTTGGTAGTCCTGTAAAAATGGGATTAATTTGGCATAGGATGATTTTAATGAGCCTACGTTTCACTTTGGAACATCTCATTTCTAGTATCTCTCTTACTCTGTGTGATTAAAAACTATTAATACTGAGTCTGTAGTTATATCTTACGTTCTTTAGTACTCTAAAATATATTTCATATTTACTGTTCCTTATTACTTTAGAGAAAGTAAGTAGAACAGGAGCAATTTTACCAAGGAAATAAAGTGAGGTCTAGGGAGTTGTAAGGACTGGCCCAGTATCACAGGATAACTTACTAGTATCCCACAAGATGAAGTTCCATACATTTGGAAGTGTAGAGTAATATGTGCACTGGGATTTACTGTAGATATGTATAAATAATAGCAGGGTCATATAAAGAGCCCACCTTGTAAGTTTTGAAACAAAGAAATACACATTCCTACTCTGGGCATTAGATTTTATGAGAGGTTCCAGGATTCCATTTGGGAGTATAGTTTTGACTGCAAAAAACTGTTTTTAATTCTTCCTGCTGACTTTGTCTTCCAGACCCTATCAGTGTGACTTGATTGTCTTTGGAGAGTAATAATAATTATGATAGGCTACCATTTGTTATTGGTGGACTACTGAATACCAGGCATTATAATAGGTGCTTTATATAAGTAATTTTTAATCTCAAAAACTCTTCAAGATAGCTTTTATTATGGGTGCCTGGGTGGCTCAGTTGGTTAAGTGTCTGCCTTCAGCTCAGTTCATGATCTCAGGGTCCTGGGATTGAGTCCCACATCAGGTTCCCTGTCCAGCAGGGAGTCTGCTTCTCCCTCTGCCTGCCATTCCCCCTGCTTGTACTTCCTCTCTCTCTGTCAAATAAATAAATAAAATCTTAAAAAAAAAAAAAAAAAGATAGCTTTTATTAACTTCATTTTCCAAGTGAAAAAAAACTGAACTTCAGTTAGGATGGGTTGCCACCCAAGAACCCATTGGCAAAAGGATTCACTAGGGAAAGTTGCCTTATGTTTCTGGGCAATGAGGCTAGCAAATCAAGCCAAGTAATTAGGATTTTATCTTGATGGTGTAGGCAGCCATTAAATAATTTAAAATACAGAAATAGCCTGATCATTTTGAACAGTAACTCTGATAGCAACATAAAGGATAAACTGGAAGGAGGTCAGACTGCAGTATAATGGCCTGAGCTTCAACAGGCAAAAAGGGCTGGTGAGAAAGAGGTTGATAGACATTAAGAATACAGAGCCAACAAGACACAGTGCAATATTGTGAAGTTGGAAGAGGTGTTGAAGATGACTACAAGGTATCTGGCCTAGATAACTGGACATAAATAGTGCTGTTAGCAGAAGTAGAGAAATAAGTAAGTTTGAAAGGGACTGTGATGCATAAAGTTTTAGATGTGTTCATCTTTTTTTTTTTTTTTTTTAAGATTTATTTGAGAGAAAGAGTGGGTGATTGGGGGGAAGGGCAGAGGGAGAGAATCTCAAGAGGATTCACTGAGCACAGAGCCTGACATCGGGCTCGATCCTAGGACCCATAAGATGATGACCTGAGCCAAAACCAAGAGTCAGATGCTCAACCAGTTGGGCCACCCTGGTGCCCTTTAGATGTGTTCATCTTAAAGTACTTAGGAAGTATCTCAGATGGATAGGTCTCGCAAGTTATTGAAAACAGTAGGAAGTTAGAGCTGGAGATAGGGATTTAGTTGTCATCAGCATGGAGTTAGGTGATAGTTAAAGCATACAGCTGTGGTATAGTTACTGTTTATACAGGCTGTTTTTTTGTTTTTAATACGGGATTTTATCCCATACATTTATTGTTAAAACTAATAATATTTGACCATCTTGTTCTATTTATGTTTTTTGTTGCTCTCTTGCTATTTCCTTTGTTGTCTGAATTTTGATAAAATGAGCAATGTATACTATCTTCCCTGGCCCCATCCACATCCCCAACACCATTGAGGACTAGAGAGGGATGGAGCCTACCACTGCCTGTTTGCTGGAGAGTTTAATTTAGACCCTGGGTCTGAATAGAGGAACAGAATAGGTGGTAGAGTAAGTGTGAATCATGCTGCAGGCAGTCTGTGTTTCCTAAAGCAAAGTTAGAATATTATAAAAAGGGCTGAAGCTTGCATAGGTTTTTTTCATCAGCCTTGTAATTTGTATATTTTTTTACAAATTGAGGCACTGAATTCTCACCATATTATTTTTCACTGCGTAATTCTTTTTCCCTGTCTTAAAGAGAGATTTTAGTGAAGATTGAGGAACTGCATTGATATGAAATACCATTTTATATTAGAATAATTCAATCCATTTTTATATTTTCTCTTATTCCTTTTCAGGTGAACTTCTAGATCCATGTGGTTATATCAAACCTGAATCTCCAGTTGTACAACTTGGTTCTAATTTCACTGCGGTTTGTGTGCTAAAAGAAAAATGTATGGATTATTTTCATGTAAATGCTAGTTATATTTTCTGGAAAACAAACCATCTTACTGTTCCTAAAGAACAGTATACCATCATAAACAGAACAGCATCTAGTGTCACGTTTACAGATACATCTTTATTAAATACTCAGCTCACTTGCAACATTCGTACATTTGGACAGATTGATCAGAATGTTTATGGAATCAGAATAATTTCAGGCTGTAAGTTTTGTTTTTGTCTTATTTTAAACTTTGTTATGACTGTTGAATTACATTTGTAATGTCTGTTGGTCTTTATGAAATGCAGTTATTTTTTGGCTCATTGACTTTTGGACGTACTTGTTTTTAAAAAAAGTTTTGAAGTGGAACTCCATTTGCATTACTACTATACAAAAAACTTGAAGAGTAACATAAGATTTATATCTTTCTTGAAAGTCAAGTATCTCTCAGTTTTCTAGAAAACTGTTTTTACATGAGACCCGCAAAACAGTGTTGAATTGAATTTTGTCAGTGTATTCATAGTAACTTTCAGTATCCTTTAATTGCTGAAAAGATGCACATACAGAACAAACTATCTGAAGAAAGTGAATAAATACTGGAGAAAGTCCTTCTGTGTCAGAGTAAATAAACTTAGTATGATCCAAGAGTGGATTGTCAAATTGATGGATCCCCAAAACCATAATTTTGGTATATGCTTTTCCTCCAGCGGAGTTTCAGAAAACAATAGGAAGAGAAATACGTGAATCATTTGTTTCCATTTACTTGCCTTTTACTAACATGCAGTAATACTTTTTAAAATACACTTCATGGAGAAATCAGTTAATATTCTTACCCAGTTATAAATGAAAGTTGATTTTGTGTAGAAAATTAATTTGAAATATGCTAGTTAGTGACAGTTATAGAAAATGTATATTAATCTAAAAAGTACGAGTTTAAGTAGAAAAGATTTTTTTAGTCACTAGTCGAATTTCATTATGTCCATACATTTTGCTCATGTTTGTTTTTTTTTTTTTTCCCCCATCTAATTTAGATTGCACATGTCTTGGGTAGCATATAAACTGCATGTTATTTGTGGATATAAAGCTTTTTGAAAATGGCTCATTTTTCCCTTTTAGTGCCTCCAGAAAAACCTAAAAATTTGAGTTGCATTGTGAATGAAGGAAAGAAAATGATGTGTCAGTGGGATCCTGGAAGGGAAACATACCTGGAAACAAACTTCACTTTAAAATCTGAATGGCAAGTTGTTTTCAAGTTTTTTGTATGTTGAACTTACGAATTTAGTCATTTGTGCTGGAGTTTTTACTTCTTCAAGTGGAAATATTAAATGCAGATTTTTGTTTAAGCTTTTATTTTAAAGCATCTAAACATATAAAAGGGGAAAGAATAGTATAATAAACTCCCATGTGTTTGTCATCCAGCTCATGACCAGTCTTCTATATACGCCATCCCAAATTATCTTGAAGAAAATCTCAGACGTCATTATCATCTCATCCATAAATATTTTAGTTCATATCTCTAAAAGATAGGCATACTTTTTTTTTTTTTTTTAAAGATTTTATTTATTTATGTGACAGAGAGAGACACAGCGAGAGAGGGAACACAAGCAGGAGTGGGAGAGGGAGAAGCAGGCTTCCCGCGGAGCAGGGAGCCCGACGCGGGGCTCGATCCCAGGACCCTGGGACCATGACCCGAGCCGAAGGCAGTCGCCTAACCAACTGAGCCACCCAGGCGCCCCAGGCATACTTTTTTAAGACACATAACTACATACCATTATAATACCATTGAAGAAACTTTAATAGGTCACCCCATTTTCAGTTAGTATTCATGTTTCCTCAGGTGTTTATGAATATATGTATATACATATTTTTTAATTTTTTTGAGTATAGTTGACACACAGTGTTACAATAGTTTCAGCCATACAACATAGTGATTCAACTTCTCCATATCTTAGGCAATGCTCACCACAAGCATAGCTTCTGTCATCATATAACACTGTTAAAATATCATTGACTGTATTTCCTATGCTGTGCCATGAATATTTGTATATATTTTTACAAGTCATCAAGTCACGATCTAAATAATCTCCATGCATTGCAAATGGATATGTTTTTGTTTTACCATAGATTCTGCCTGGTTTTCTCATCTTTTTCTTTGCAATTCAGTTGTTAAAGTAACAGTTAACACGTGTCCCTTTTTTTTTTCCCCTAGAAATTGCTGTTAGATCTAGACACTTGATTAGATTTGGGTTTGATCTTTTTTTTTTTCAAAAGTAATTTGTAGGGGTGATATATACTTCCAATCAGGATCCCCCACAGTGTTTGATTCTTTTTCTTCCCTTTTTCTTCTTTTCTTTCTTTCTTTTTTTTTTAGGTGCACACCATATTTTATCTTAATGTAAAGTGGAGTAATAAGCAATTAGACAATTTATGTCTACTATTTCTGTCATTTTTATCTTTTCCAGTTTTATTGTGAAATCATTGATACACATTACTGTATAAGTTTAAGGCATATAGCGTAGTGGTTTGATTTACCTAAATTGTGAAGTGATTTCCACCATTGGTTTATCTAACATCCTTCTTTTTGTATAGATAAAACAAAAAAGAAGGAAAAAAATTTTCTCCTTAATTCATAGGATTTACTCTCTCCACATCTTTCCTGTGTATCATACAATAATGTTGGCTATAGTCATGTTGTACATTACATCCCTAGTTCTTAGTATTTTATAACTAGAAGTTTGTACCTTTTGACCACCTTCCTCCAATTTCCCCTCTCCCCACCCTCTGCCTCTGGTAACCACAAGTCTGATCTCTTTTTTTTTTTTTTTTGTGAGTTTGGTCTTTTTGTTTGTTTCTTTTAGATTCCACAGATAAGTGAAATCATAAGTATTTGTCTTTATCTCTCTTATTTCACGTAGCATAATGCCTTCAAGGTATACCTATGTTCTTGCAAATGTAGGATTTCTGCATTTTTTTATGGCTGAATAATAGTCCATTGCATGTGTATACCACAACTTCTTTATCCATTCATCCATTAATGGACACTTACCTGTTTCCATGTCTTGGCTGTTGTAAATAATGTTGCTGTGAACAAGGAGATGCAGGTACCTTTTTGAGATAGTGTTTTTGATTTCATTTGGATGTATTCCCAGAAGTGGAATTCCTGGATCATACGGTAATTTAATTTTTTTAGGATCTTCCATCTTTTTCATAGTGGCTGTAGCACTTTACAGTTTCACCAACAGTGCATAAGGGTTCCCTTTTCTCCACATGCAAACAAACATTTGTTATCTTTTTGATGATGGCCATTCTCACAGGCATGAGGCGGTATCTCATTATGGTTTTAATTAACATTCTTCACATGACAGGTGATGCTGAGTGTCTTTTCATGTACCGATTGCCTTTCATATATCTTCTTTGGAGAAATGTCTGTTCAGGTCTTCTACCATTTTTTTATTTGGGTTGTTTTTTTGCTGTTGAGTTGTAGGAGTTCTTTATATATTATGAATGTTAACCCCTTATCAGATCTATGGCTTCCAAATATTTTTTCCTATTCTGTAGGTTGTCTTTTCACTTTGTTAATGGTTTCTATGCAGATTTTTATTTTTAAATTTTTTTTATTTGACAGAGCAAGAGAGCACAAGTAGGGGGAGTAGCAAAGGGAGACCCCAACATGGGGCTCGATCCCAGGACTCTGGGATCATGACCTGAGCCAAAGGCAGACAGATGCTCAACTGATTGAGCTGGGCAGGTGCCCCACATCTTTAGTTTCATGTAGTTCTACTTGTCTCTTTTTTATTTTTGCTTGTGCTTTGAGTGTCATATCCAAAAAATCAGTACTATGACCCATGTCACAGAGCTTTAGTCCTGTATTTTCTTCTCGGAGTTTCATGGTTTGAAGTCCTACATTTAAGTCTTTAATCTATTTTGAGTTCATTTTTGTGAAAGGTATAAGATAGGGGATAATTTTATTCTTTTGTAGGTGAATATCCAATTATCCCAGCACTATTCCATCAGGAATTCCCCTGGCTCCCTTGTCAAATATTAGTTGGCATAATTAGTTGAATTGTGCTTGGGTTATTTTCAGGCTTTCAGTTCTCTTCCACTGGTATGTTTGTTTATATGCTAGAACCATGCTGTTTTGATGACTTAAACTTCATAGTATAGCTTGAAATCAGGAAGTGTGATGTTTCCAGCTTTATTCTTTTTTTCTCAGGATATTTTTGACTATTCAGTCCTTTGTGTTTCCACATAAATTTTAGGAGTGTTGTTCTCTACTTTTGTAAAAAATTGCGATTGGAAGCTTGATAAGGATTGCATTGAATCTATAGGTGGCTTGTGATGTTTTAACGGTATTCATTCTTTGAATTCGTGAGCTCATTTATTGTGTCTTTGAGTTCTTTCATCAGTGTCTTGTAGTTTTGAGGGTAGAGGTCTTTTACCTTCCTAGTTAAATTTATTCTTGTTTTATAGTTCTTGATGCTGTTGTAAGTGGGATAGATTTCTTTCTTTTCAGAAAATTCATTGTAAGTGTATAGAAGCACTACTGATTTTTGTATTTTAATTTTGTATTGTGCAACTTTACTGAATTCATCCATTAGATCTAACAGATCTTTTGGTTGAGAGCTTTTGTTTTTCTGATACTAAGATTGAGAGATGGTTTCAGGTGCTGTCAGCCTGATACATTTGTTATAAAATTTCCTTTTTTTTTTTCAAAGATAGGTTTTGTTTATTGGACTTGGCTTTGACATGACTGACACACTCTGCATACACTAGTACAAATTGATCTAAAATAGTTCTTACCAGCAGTTCTTATCAAATAAAAGCTGAAGGAACTTTGCAGTGAATGCTTATACAGACCCATCACCTAGATCCTACAGTTAACATTTTACTGTGTTTGCTTCATCACATATATGTTTATCTATGCATCCTTCTCTCCACCTGTCCATCTTTTTATTTATGTATTTCAGAGTGACTTGCAGGCATTAGTATACTTCACCCTTAAACACCTCGGTGTTTACATTATTAATTAGATGTAATCAGACATTTACATATACATGTTTGGGTTTTGGTAGAATTTATGTGCATCTTTAAATATACTTAGATACCTTAAGTGTATCAGTCAGTGACTTTTGACTAGTACAGTTATGTAACTCAGACCCTTATCAAGATATAGAACATTACTCATACCCCCAGAAAGTTCACTTCTGCTGCTGCCCGGTCAGTCCTATCCACCACCGTATCTCACCCCATCCCACAAGGCAACTACTGAAATGATTTTCTTCACTATAAATTTTTGCTTGTTCTGAATGTCATGTAAACGTAATGATACAGTATGTACTCTTCTGTGAAAGGTTATGACTCAGCAGAATGTTTTGGGGATTTAACCATGTTGCATCCCATTAGTTTTTCATTTAAAGGTTTGAGCCATCAGCGATCATTATTTGTACCTGAGGTACAAAATAATGGTATTCTGTCTTTTTTTTAAAACCTGATATACTTAAAACTTTCAACTGTTGGTTACCCTGAGGGACAGTTCATATAGAGAAGCAAAATGGTATTAATGTTTTCACTTTCTAACCAATTTTATAAAGAGTTAGTTCCCTAGCATCCTCCGAAGGATGAGGGGTTTTTTCCCTTCATTATGAATTCATATTGAAATATATTTGATGTGTTTCAGTCCATTACCGTTGTTTTTCTTTATACTTATGTTGTCCCATCCTTGGTTAGTAGGAACTACTCAGGTTGGCTCTTCCTTTTGACTTCACTCATTAGTCTTGGACAGCTTTCTTCCTTTCTGGTATGACATGATTTTCCAGATTCACCTTAGTATATATGTCCCGCCCCAGACCTAGAATCACCCATTTCCCATGTAGCCGTGGTTCCATTTAGTAGGAACTACTGTTTAGAGACTACAGTCTGGGTGCTAGGGGAGCTTGTTATTTCTAGGCTTTTACAGCAGAAACAGTTAGGAAACGTTTTTAGGGTAAAATACATCATGCGCTAATACTGATATTTCCAGTTTAAAATCCGGACTACCTGTTTTTACTTAATTTCATCCATCTAACATCTACATCTTTCTTCTGTGCTGAAAACCTTGGTCTCCAGCAGCACCAATATAATAACTCATTTGCTTTATCTCAGTAAGCATAGCCGCTGCAGAATAGCAGTGCCAGTATCAGTACCAACAATGTGAATACTAAAAAGAATTTTAAAGATTGTTTTTCTTCCACTAAGGATACAGTTAAATTACTGTTTTAAAGCTACTTAAATTTTAAAGCTACTTAAAGGGGCGCCTGCGCCAGGCGCAGTCAGTTCATCGTCTGCCTTCGGCTCAGTTCATGATCCCGGGCTCCGAATCTGAATCAGGCTCCCTGCCCAGCAAGGAGTCTGCTTCTCCCTCTCCCGTTCCCCCTGATTCTGCTCTTTCTCTCTCTGTCAAGTAAATGAATAAAATCTTTAAACAAAAAAAGACACTTAAAATAGTTTTCTGTGTGTTACAGCACCAACTCAATACAAGAGTTCATATGTTTCATTTTGCTTTTGAGTTTTAGGAATTTTTAAAGTGAGATATAATTGATATACAGTATCCTGTTTGTTTCAGGTATACATCATAGTAATTCATAAAAGTTACCTGCTTTGTTGTGGTTTTGACTTACCCTTTTATTTTAAAAAAAATGTGTGTATGTGTGTGTATATGTCTTTTTAATTGATGCGTAATTTAAATATAAGTGAGTAAATAGTATTATCACTTGAAACTTTTTTGGTGATAGAAATCAGAAAGTGTTTGCCTGGGTTTGACTGGAAAAAGGCTAAGGGGATTTTCTGGGGTTGACAGAAATACTTATCCCTGTCCTCCTGTCACCTCCTAACATACTGTGCTTAGAAAAATCATACTGTGCTTAAAGAAGGACATTGCAGGTACAGTAAGGATTCTGTTTCAGGAATGGAAAGAAGATCACAGGAAATTATTTTTGGAGAAGGGTCATTGGGGATAGAGTATAGTATTCTAAATGTAATGTTCTTGGAGTAAAAATTTGAAAATAATATGTTTTAAGATATAGATCAAACTCAGTTTTAAAGGAAAGCATGATAGTTTTTAAGAAATTTTATTTTAAGCTGTAACAGTCTGGGTCTCATCAAGTAACCTTTTTCACTCTTAATTTTTTAAAATCTGTTTTTAATGACCAGTTCTTCCATTTTTGTATTTAGGGCAACAGAGAAGTTTGCTGATTGTAAAACAAAACGTGACACTCCCACCTCATGTACTGTTGATTATTCTCCTGTGTATTTTGTCAACATTGAAGTCTGGGTAGAAGCAGAGAATGCCCTTGGGAAGGTTACATCAGATCATATAAATTTTGATCCTGTAGATAAAGGTAGTTATAAACCTGAATTTGAGAATTTATTAGGATATATGCAGTGACTTATTAATTTAGTTTTTAGATTTTAATTAATATAGAAATAAGCACTTATTATTTTAGTGATTTTTACAAATTTATTTTAACAACTTTAAAAATAATCTGGAAAAATCTTAATAATCCAACTCTACTACAGTGGTTTGCACTTTGAGTGTTATCTGCTAGTATTTATGCAATTATCAAACATTTTACAACATAGCAATTATAGTACACGTTTTTTTATTGTCTTTTTCTTTACATATATCATAAATATTTTGATAACCTAAAAAGATTAACAAGCATATAATAACTTGACAAAGAAAACTAAAATTTCTTTAGAAACCTTTCCTCTCCATTATAATAGTATGACATCACATTGTTTTCAAAAAAATTAGTTCATTTGGTAAGAATAAATAAATATTGTGAAATAAAATATAAGTAGTATGTTTGAGTTTGTGTAAGAAGTTGTAAAAATAAACCATGATAAACATTTGGATTTATTTTATTCTTCAGTGAAACCCAATCCGCCACATAATTTATCCGTAAGCAACTCAGAGGAACTGTCCAGTATCTTAAAATTGACATGGATCAACTCAAGTATTCAGGGTTTTATAAGACTGAAATACAACATTCAATATAGGACCAGAGATGCCTCAATTTGGAGCCAGGTAAATTGCAAGTTACTGTTTATGCTAATAGTCTTACAACCCTTAGTCTTGAACCTAAAAGTCTCAATATCCTAAGGTTGTGGTTATATGAAATATTTTGCTTGACTCATCTTCTTGATCTGTATTTCATGCAAGGGCAAACAGGAAGACATTCAGATAGAAAATACAGTTTTGCTGAGTGCGGTAGCTTTTAAGTGAAGTATGGAAGTGATACCAGGTGATAAGGAATAGTATTTTTGATGGGAGGTGAAAGGAACACAAAAAATAAGCAAATTAAGTGGGGAGTATATGAAGAGATTATTTGGCTAAGGTAGAGCAGGAGTTGGCAAACTAAATCTGCAGGCCAATTTCAGCCTGCCATCTGTCTGTATAAATAAAGTTATATTGGAACACAGCCACACTCGTTTTTGTTTTTTTTTTTTTTTTATTGTCTTTGGCTATTTTGTGTTGCAGTGGACAAGTTGAGTAGTTGCAACAGAGACTATCCGGCCCACAGCCTAAAATATTTAGTATCTAGCCCTTTTAAGAAATCATGTCAACTTCTTAGTAGAGGAAGGAGTTGTTGGGGAACTTACAAGACTGAAAAGGAACAGAACAGTGTACCCAGAGATGATGCTGTCACCAAAAGAAGTACTTGGAACTTTTAAAAAGACAATCACCATAGCTTTGTGCTCCACAAAGTATTCTTTGTTATAACTTCATTTGTCACAAACACTATGCTTTTGCTTTCTCTTGTTGCAGTAATGAGCTCATAAGGGATTTGAGCCCATGATCTTAATACTCTCCATTCCACTTATCTGAAGGGCTGCTCAAAATAAAGTTAGAAAAAGCAACAAATGAAAATGGATTAATGCTTCATCTTGTACAGAGACGATACATACCTGAACTTCAAAATAGTTTTTTGATATCATAGACTCTTAATTCATTGATAACAAAAAAAATTGACACCTACTTTGTATTCAGTATTAAAATCTCAGAGTAGAAGGATCAGTTATTTATATTCTCTGTTTTCCTGAAAACCAAGTTTATATACAATGATACCTTTTGTTTTTCTTGATTGAGTTGGATATCTTCCTTTTTCCTATCCAGAGCTGCACTCTGCTCTGCTCTACTCTACTCTTTGTCTTGGAATGCTGGCCTGTATGGATTTCATCTGTGGGTTCACATTCTCTCTGGTTTCCTAGTGAATGTGGTTAATGGGAGCAGGGGGTCTGGCAAAAGAGACAAGTGAGATCAGCATATTTATTTTCCCTCCTTCCTCCCTGGAGCTGCCCATGTCTCTCAGCCTAAGATCACTGCACCTCTCAAATTAACCCCATCTGACCCTCTTCTCCCAGTTTCTGGTACCTCCCCTCATCCCTTTTGGCCTAGGAGTAATAACAGCTACAAGCCCCTGAGTAATGACCACTATCTAAAGAGGTTTCCCTACACTCTGCCCATACTTCCTTTTGTGTAAACCCTTCTTGAATTAAATTCTACTTGGAGTATACCATCTTTTTCCTGCTGAGACCCTAAGTGTTACAGGCCCCATGGAAGAAAAAAAATAAATAAATGAAGGATTAATAATAGATGTTTTCCATACTTCCCAAATCTATTTACTTCATTAATTTAGACTGCTTTTTGATTTGCATTTATATCTCTCCAGAGCTTGAGTTTAATTTATTAGTCTTGTTTCATTAAATCAGTTTCTAAAATCTTTGAGAATTTAGGACAGTTACAATAAATACCATTGGGTTTTTTATTGGTTGATCTGCTTTGATTTCAGATTCCTCCTGAAGATACAGCATCCACCCGATCTTCATTCACTGTCCAGGACCTTAAACCTTTTACAGAATATGTGTTTAGGATTCGTTGTATGAAGGAAGATGGTAAAGGATTCTGGAGTGACTGGAGTGAAGAAGCAAGCGGTATTACATATGAAGATAGTGAGTAATTAAGATATATGAGGAAGGTTTTGGAATTAATGGCTATGAATTGTGTCTGGTTTTAATAATACCTCGTTGCTTCTTATTTTGTGACCATTTTATTCAAACTTGTATTTTACACTTTTATTCTCTTTGAGGACATCAGGATATAAAGTGTGCATTATTGATGGTATAAATCTATTTGATTCCTAATAAAATTACCATGGAATGACCATGAGAAAACCACTGACCTAATAGTTAAGTCCAGAACATTTTATTAAAGGACAGTGGTTCAGAGATATCCCTGAATAGAAAATCATATCCTGACTCATTAAAATGATACTAACAAAATATACCATAGTCCCTCACTGTCAGAAATATGTTTGTACTATTATTTGTTTGTTTCTGCCAGCACTTAATAAAGCCCTGGAAAAGAATCCTGGAGTTTTGGTTTATTTTCATTTTCCTTTTTTTCCCCCCACGATCATATAGGGCATATAGTACAGAATCAAAAAGTCATAAAAGGGTATATGGGGTCCAAGGTAAGATCCCTGCCCATAGCAGTTAATGTCAGTAATTTCTTTTGTAGCAGTCAGGAAATAGTCCTGTAGCCTCCAGATTTTATTTTTGAACAGTTTTCTTCCATAGTTTCACCCTTCAGGTGTCAATGGCTTTAAAACCTCCTGTACCACCTCTGTCCCTTCACTTTCAGCTCCACTAGAGGTTTGGATAGTGAAATGAGAGAGGCAGAAAAGTAAACTACCTTTCTCCACTAAGAATTTTCTCTTACTTTCATAAATGACATGAAAGAAAGCAATACTGCTATTGCTGATTTGGGGGTCTTCAACTGGATTTCTTTGTCTTGGCCAGGAATTCTTAAACTGGGATCCTTGGGGCCTTGAAAGCTGGTGGGTCAGTTGCGGAAGGGAAGCGAGAGGAGGGTGGTTCCTGAACTACTCTTTAAGTGTGGGCAAAATACTATGGTTAGTGCCTGTGTGCATTTTCTGGGGAGATGGTACATAGCCTTTGTCAAAAAGATACCTGGAAAATTATGAACCATTAGATTAAGCATTTCTTCAACTTAATCATCAATGAATGATTCCTCTAGGTTCTTCTTATGTTAGGAAGTCTTTCTGGCCTGTAACATTTTCCTTATAGTTTCTTGGTCTTCATTTTGTATACTCATGTATGTGTATCTGTTTGAACCCCCTGCACTGGCACCTTGTCCCCAGGCTTGCCTCTCTTCTCTCTTTTGACCTCTATAATTACCTCTTTATAATCATCATATCACTGCTTAGATTTTATTCAGATCCTTTTTTATTCTATTGAACCATATCTTATAATTGCACTTACAGAAATTTTGAAAAATCAGCTGATTCTATAGGAATTTTTAAAACCTAATAGCATTTGATACTTGGTTTTATAAAGTGGATTTTCATTTTTCACATTGTTGGTGATTATGACAATAGCACTGTGAATTCATTTTTATTATATCCTATCAACAGTCATCCTAACATAAGGTAATAAACTTAGCCCACATTTACTCCCATTTATTTTGTTTTATATTCTTACATATATACATTTAGGAGTTTTAAGTATATATTTAAATAAAATTTTTCAGTTTGATTTTTAGCAGTAAGAAATGATGATCCATCTTTGGTTATACCTTTAGGATATGTTTGTAGCTTTACAATTTAAAGATTAGAAAAGTATCCCGATATAATCTAAATTACCAAGCTATCTATCATCCTGACTAAAGGAAGACCCAGGCATAGCATGCTGGGGTGGGGAAAATGAGAGTTTAACAGTGACTGAAGGGCAAGAATATTAAGAACAAAGGAAGAGAATAATTTCCAAGATTATATTTTATTGTTAAAAAATTTTATTTTAAAAAGTTTATGTCATTTCTTTAGGACCATCCAAGGCACCAAGTTTCTGGTATAAGATAGAGCCATCCCATACTCATGGTTATAGATCTGTACAACTCATATGGAAGGTAAAAAATTGCATGTTTATGTTCTTTTATCACTTACATAGATATATTTTATATGGCATTGTGAGTGTAGTTTTTTAACTTAAATTTTTATTCATCTTAGTATCAGGAAAACATTTGATAAATAGAAACACAAAGCTTTGTATATACTACATAAAAGGGCCATAAAGAGCAGGTTTTATCTCATAAATACTTCATCACAGTTCTATGAAAAGTTCTATGAGAAGGATCTTATCTGTCATTGAATTTCCCTGAGTGCCTCATAGAAATAATTACTAAAGGTTTTGAGTGATCAAAATGTATGCCAATAATAGGAAATACAAAATTATTGTCAACTCCATAAGTCTGCAAGTGTATCATACTAAAAAAAAAAAAAAAAAATACTCAGGCATAAAATATAATTTAGGGTCAGATAGCCACAGTGCAGGTACTATACAGAACTAAAAGCTAATGAAATGGTGCTTTCCCTCCTAGTCAAAGTCAATGGGTTTACTCTTCATTTACTATGTAGTAGTTTTACTTAAGGTAGTAAATGAGGTTGCAAGTACCTTTCAGTTAAACATTTAGAGGTTTGACATAACAGCAGAATTTGTGAACATGGAGAAAACTGATTAACTTTTATTAAATACATTTTTAAAATAAACTATTTTATTATAGACATTGCCTCCTTTTGAAGCCAATGGAAAAATTTTGGATTATGAAGTGACTCTCACAAGATGGAAATCACGTTTACAGAATTACACAGTTAATGACACAAAATGGACAGTAAACATCACAAATGAGCGTTACATAGCAACTCTCACAGCAAGAAATCTGGTTGGCAAATCAGATGCAGCTGTTTTAACTATTCCTGCTTATAATTTTCAAGGTTTGTGTCTGTGAGATGGAGTCGACTTACAGATGGGAAAAGGTGGTTCCTAATGTAGAAGATATTCTGAGGCGTAGTACGTAATTATTCTAAGTCAACAACCAAATAATTTGTTCCATTATTACGTGGCTCACTTAAACTTGGGAGTAAACTGCTTAATTTATTTCAGCCTTTTCTGATTGCTTACCTGGTTTTTTAAATATTAAGGCTCTGGGAACCATGCATGAGTATGCCTTAAATATATTGCTCATTGCTTTCAAAGAGGAAAAAAAATGCCATTTACACATAGAAAACATTTGAAGAATTTTGAGAAAGGAATTTTAGTTTCAAAATAAATTGTGTATGTAAATTATGATAAAGTGCCTTTATTCATGGAAATACATATTCATATGTGCTACAAAAACTGGTTATGGAAATGTAAAATATCAAAATTTCAAATTTTTTAATGTTCATTTCTCATATCGGTATTCAAACTTTGTTTTAAAGCTACTCGCCCTGTAACGGATCTTAAAGCATTTCCCAAAGATAATATGCTTTGGGTAGAATGGACTGCTCCAAATGAATCTGTAAACAAATACGTACTTGAGTGGTGTGTATTATCAGATAAATCGCCCTGTATCCCAGACTGGCAACAAGAAGATGGTACTGTACACCGCACCTATTTAAGAGGTATACCTGGCTAGAAAAAATTTTAAATTGATATCCTTAGACAGCTTTTTCTTTCACATATTTTTGTGTGCTTTACAGATGTTGTGGTCCCCTGAAAAGATCTTCAATTTATCAGTTACTAGTTACATCTGGTTTGCCAGATGTGTGACTCTCACCAGGTCGCATATAACCTCATTCATTTGCAGGGTCTGTTTATGGACAAAGTGGGGCTAATAGTATCTTCTCTTTAGAGTTAAGTGTTTTGATCTCAAAGGAACACTTAAAAAACTATAAAGAGAACTATAAGGTAATATGACCTCTGCTTGTAATTAGTTGCATTTTTTCTATACCTGATTTAACTCCTCATCCTGCAATGAGAAAATATTTTCCTGTAGCATCTGAATGACTTGTTAAACCCTTAAAGCTTTTGAATAGGGGAAGCAGAATTGGAACTCAGATTTCCTTGTCTTTTAACTGGAAGTTGTAATGGACAGAAAGTAATGATGTTGTAGAGCTCCAAAATGGTGGATTGCCCTGCGTTTTAAGGTACAACTTAACTCTGTGGCTTTGAAGTGATAAAACAGCTTTAAAGAGAAAACACTCAGCTTGTATGTTTTTGTTTTATTTTAGTCAAGAAGGAGAACCATTAGAATTCAGCTATGAATAATATGATTAATTAGAGAAAAGCTGTAAACAAGGACATATCTGCCATAAAGTTTGTTTTATTTATAAAATAGGCTATTTGGCCCTCGTTAACCTCTTATTTAATAGACAATTTTAATAAATTTGGCTGTTTAGTTTATCAGCCTTATCAAAAGCAAGGTGGAGCTAGAGAGAAGATGCACGTTGGTAGGAACTAGACAATAGAAATGTTTTTAAGAAAGCATAGCATCATCTCCAGAGACCTTCAGGTTGCACAGGGAGCCCCAATAGCTCATAGCTCTGATAACATCACTGTATTACAGCAGAGTTTAACACTTAATTCATCTTCTTGATAATATTGAGTCATCAAGAAAAAGTGAGATTACTCTGTTTAAGAAAGCAAAGAAGCATATATAACTTTATGAGTAATAGTTGAGGAAATAAAAGTTCTTGTTGAATGTATAAACTTCAGTATAACAAATACCTTATTTTCTGATGTGGACAGATAGAATTCTATATAAAAAGATTTTAAAAAAGATTTTACTATTGTGTATTAAAGGAATAGATTACTTTGTTAATTTGAAGAGATTATTTAAAAATTTTTTTTTACCCTTTGGAGGAAATAGTACTAATTCTTTTCTTCCCAGTCACCTTACAAACCAGGGCCATTTCCCTAGCTCTTACCAGTGGGTCTTTAGGTAGTTTTCTGAGAATTAGTTAAGATGTACAAACACTGAAGCTATAAGACCAAGGATAATTTGAAATCAATGTTTTATAAGTCCTGGATGTAAATATAATAATTACTTTTACTGATAAATATTTCCACCATATTGGCAATAAAAGTAAGCTTTTACTTTCATAAATAGCTTTACTCTATTAAGCTTGAATCCAGTACACAAAAAGCAACGCTTACTTTAAAGATTTTATTTATTTATTTGAGAGAGAGCGAGAGAGGGAACACAAGCAGGGAGAGTGGGAGAGGGAGAAGCAGGCCTCCTGCGGAGGAGG